GGCATAGTCCCCTACTATAGCGTTCTCCATGATGTAGTCTACGCCATTGAACATCCTTGCCTACAAATAGGAGAGATAAAGGTCAAACACTTAAATTTCCCTTTCAAACACTACACCCACACATCTATCAACCTTTCAAGGCAAAAATGAGGAGACCCTCAAGCCAAACAAAAAGAATACAGCCATTTTGTATACTTTTTACACAGAAGTTTTACAAAAGAGAGACATCTAGGATCCATAACATTAGTTTAAGGGCCAAAAAGTAGGAATAATTCCTCCAAAACAGAAACGGTTGCCAGCTATGAACCACGGTCTCTTGGACAGGAAAAGTATTGATCATCGATGGAAAAGAAAAATTGACCCTTGGGAGGTAGAGGAAGGGTAATGACACTAGGCCTGTCTTCATCAGCTCAAGATAGCCAAATAGCCCGCTATTTCTGATTTGAGAAATAATCCAGAAGTTACTAATCGCGTCATCATCAGCTCAAAACTTGAAACTCGAGCTCGAGAAATTAGCTCGAGATATTTTGCTCAGTGTTCGTGCATAGTGCAAGTCTTTGGGCTGGTGAAGACGCACCGAACAAATAGCGGGATATTTTGCAAACTAGCCCAAGATATCTTGGAATGATTATCTCGACCAAATATCCTGCTAATTGCAACTTTGGGCTGATGAGGACACAAATTAACTGGATAATTTGCGATTGGGATAGTTCAAATAGCAGGATATTTGGCAATCTCAAGCTGATGAGGACAGACCTACTGTGAAAGTTTAAAACTCTTGATATACCTCTCTAGGGTCACTGGTGATGGCTACCGATCCGTCGTCATTGTATTTGATAGGTGATCCACCAAGGTGTACAAGGGTACCGAAACCGGTAGGGGTGAAGAAGGCTGGCACCCCTGCCCCTCCTGCTCGTATCCTCTCTGCCAGTGTACCCTGTCAAAAAAGTAAGATGATTGATATCTTGTTCAGTGTTTGTGGCAAACAAATAAATATGGTATGTTTTCAAAAATATATTAAATTTCAGAGACATATCAGTGAGTAGGGTACTTTTTCTTACTGAGATATCAATGCCAAAAGAGGATGTCTGCATTCAAGTTGCTTGAAAATGTATAGAATTGAATTGCATGTAGTAACTCTACTCCATTAAAGTTGGCTTATAAAATGTCAAGTTGTCAACCAGCCACCCAGAAAAAAAGAGAAAAAGGAGAGAGAGGGAGAAAATCTACTCTCTATGAGTGTAAGGTATCTTCAACAAAGATCCTTAAAATGAGGGGCAAGTCATTGCTCAAAAGTTTCTATAGTTTGGCTTTTCAGGTAAATAACATTATCTGTCAACAAAAAATTTATAAACCAGTTGAACAGCAATTTTGATTCTTTTGATTCTTTGTACAATTGTAAAATGTGAGCACAACAAATTTCCAATAATAAACAATAAATTGAAATTGATTGATTGAAATTGAAATACATCTCTAAGAAGCACTTAATGATGTGCTGAGCAAAATCAATTTTATGGTAAATATTTGTCAGATATGATGACTTGTTAACATGAAAATCACCGGCTTATAAGTTCCACTAAAACCATGGACTCTCCACAAAGAGTGCACTATACCTGTGGTGTGAGCTCGACTTCCAGCTCTCCAGATAAATATTGCCTTTCGAACTCTGCATTCTCACCGACGTATGACGACACCATCCTCCTGATCTGCTTCGTCTTCAAGAGTAGACCAAGACCAAAATCATCCACACTGTCAGACGAGACACGTATACAAACTTCAAAATTGAATCAAATCTACATGTAATATCGTACATTCAATATACTTTTTTTTTCTCAATCTTTTGAGGTTGAATCGTGAATGAATCTGTTCTAAAATGTTTCTCTTCATACTTTCGACTGATTTTGAATCTTTTCAATTCAGAAATGTATATCCTACGTAGAAACAATTATTACTACTGGGCAGATGGACTAACTAAACATTTGACTCAATCTGTATAATTGCAGTGCAAAAAGAGAAAACTATCTACTTATTACTATTCATTCAACTGACTCATAGTGAGATGTGACCCCGCCCCCCCCCCCACTCCGGGAATGGCTCGTAACAAAGAAAAGGATCTGCCCGTATTGACTTTACACACCGGACTTATGCTGAAAGGGCGGAGGGGGGGTGCTGGGAACACGCGTATGCATACCCTGAATAACACTGAGTGGGGGGGGGGGGAGGGGGGCCGGGATGTGACACACATCATGTTACACTCCAAGGAGTCCAGTCACATCAAGGAGACACAGAAAAACTGAAAAAGTGCATTATTTCTAATGGCCAATAGTTGGTGGACTTAGATTCGATCTAGTGGTGCGATTGAGTTACAATATGACAAACATATGTCAAGGTCAAAAACAGAACCTCGCGTCTCTAACAAGCAATAGATTTACTAAGATATTCAAATGTTATGCATACTTTTTAATCAAGGCTGTTCTTGAAAATCTGAAAGCTGGCCAGAGTCTTGCTTGCAATAGTAACAAGTATTGTACGCAGACTGGATTCCAAGTATTGCAGTTCATTCATTAATAATAGGTTAATGGAATAACTTGTCACTAGGTCCCCAGGTAAGAAACATCCATACATTTTAATATGTTATTAAACCAGTCCATTGGATCAGTGGGTCAAGAACAGCATATGACTTACCCTGCATTATTACTGACTGCTGTTATATCCTTTACTCCTGTATCCAGTAACCCTTGGATGAGGTTCTCTGGGATGCCACACAGTCCAAATCCTTGTGTTCAAATATAAAACAGAATGAAAGCATGCCATTACTGATCTCAGTGATTGGTCACTGAGATCAGTGATCAGTCACTGCTTAATGATGAGAGGCATCAGGGGTGGGAGGCAAGGCTGATACTGTCAATGTTGCATAGAGGAATATTCAAGACTATTTATTAGACATGAATAATGATTTCTTTTTTTTTAGAACTTTGAATATAATATTTAGGATTCCATTATCGCTGAATTTTGTTTTCTTTGTGGAGTTTGAAATAAAAGAATTACAAAGTTTGAAACTAGAAATCCAACATAAGTTTGGCAAGTATCAAGCACACAAGAACAATGACATTAAACAAGTCTTTGACAGAGCCTTCTCAAACAAGCATCCTGAAGAACCACCCTCTCCCCCCTAGGATTTCAAAACTGGGTGTCCAAATTGAAAAATTGACCCCAGGGACATATTATTTGGATCCCCCCCCCCCCCCCCATGACAGATTTGTATTCAGATGACTTACCTCCAACAAGAAGTGTTGCATTATCAGGTATCTCACCGACTGCTTCTAAAGGATTCTCACAAAACTCCACATTGAGACGTTGAGTTGTGGACAGGCATCTTGATAATGGCTGTCAAACAAATAGAAAAAAAAGATTTAACAATCGATTTGAAAGTAATTATTTTATTATTTATCTATCAAAATCAATTTTTCTGATTTTCTTGTACATGTACTCTTTGTCTAAATACGTATTTCAATCTCATTATCATAATCAGCAATATCATCATTCAAGAAAATATCATCATTGATTGTTCATCATCATCGTCATTTATCTTCATCATTGTCATCACCATTATCATCATCAACAACATTGTCATAATCATCATCAACATTCATTATTATCATCATCTTCAAAATCGTCATCATCATCCCCATTCATCATACTGTCATCATTATTCATCACAATCATCTCCACCAGTACCACCATCACCACCAACATCATCATCCATCAGCTTCAGTCCATAAATGAAAGTCTGCAATTCAAGTCTGTGCACCAGAACTATACAGCGTGGAGCTTAGTTAATCTGTAATATGATACCTGGATTTCACTTGAATTCATTTGTTTATCAGTTTTATTCATAGTAAAACTCACTTCAGCCTCAAGAGGTATGTCCTCATCAGCTCGATATTGCCAAATAGCCCGCTATTTCTGATTTCAGAAATAAGCCCAAAGCTACAATTCATGTCTTAATCAGCTCGAGACTCGACCTTGAACCTAAAGCTCAGGCAATTAGATTGAGATGTTTTGCTCAGCGTTCGCGCATATAGTGCTAGTCTTCGGGCTGGTGAAGATGCGCCGGACAAATAGCAGGATATTTTGCAAACTAGCCCAAGATATCTTGGGATGAAATCTCAAAAAAATATCCCGCTAATCGCAACTGCGGGCTGATGAAGACGCAAATTATCCCGTTAATTTGCGATTGGGATATTAAGATAGCGGGTTATTTGGCAATCTCGAGCTGATGAAGACAGGCATAAGGGCAGTTTTTGTTTACAGCATAGGTCATTAGGTATACATTATATTTACAATTGTACATCCATATATATACCGCTAGGTCAATACAGTACATCTGTATTGGAAATGGATTTCTGAATTCCAGTGTTATGTTTTGTCAAGAGCTCTGAAGAGCATTCAGGGATTTAATACCACTTGCTTATTATGCAATCAATTTGCACATGTGCTTTTGACCCTTCAGTTCACTCTAACAGTTTTTGTTTTGTAATGAGGGCAAGCTAATGAAGCTACCCCATAATAAACTGTGTACAACTCAACTGAGAAGCAGCGAACCGATCCATTGGCCTATTTGGGACTCTTCTTAAGTTACAGGGACTGCTGGTACATGTATGGCCAGATGTCAACAATCAGGGATCTGATGAATCCTGAAGTGGCTATTGCTCCCAATTGCAAAATGTACATAAAATATTTTAAAGACCTTGACCGGAGCAGAAAATTATATAGACAAATTACATACCTACGGACTCGTGAATATTTACTGAATATGAAAATGCAAACTTCTCGAGATTCCACGGCCTCTGAAAGAAGTATTTATCATCCGAAACCCCGGATTCACGGATTTGAGAGGGGCACCCCGGAGATTTAGTTTCGGCTGCGCTAGCCGGTGGCCGTTTCTACCCGTTTCTGATGACGTCATATCGTGTAGGTTATTTGGCCACTCGGTATAGCAGCTAGTTCTTCGCATGGTGGTCGGTATGTGAAGTTTTCTTCTCTCTTGTTTTGTTGTTGTAAATATCAATGTCGAAGCTGTATTTGGACATTTTACGATTAGAATGTTGACATTTTATATCTGTATTAATTTCACGCTACGTAATATGGAATATCAACCCCAAATTTCCACTAAATTAGATTGAAACGAATCATTTGCCCGCGCTGCTGGCTGCCTGCCTCGGTCTGCGATTGCACAACTTTCAGCAATCTATCGCTGAGCCTCGCGAGAGCACTCGGGCCGCGGCCGGCCCGGCCTGACTTGCCGCGCCGTGTCATGCTGGTGGTCGTGGAATATTTCTCGAACAAAACTAAGTTTCGCTCGCTTTTATCGCACAGATAGCCTTTCCTTTTGCATGGTTTACCAGCATTAAATCAAAGAATTATTTAGATCTACATTGTTTTATTGTCTAGAATATAGTCTGTAAACAATGAAAAATAAGAAGAAGATGAAATGGAGATTTTGAAGAAGAATTGGGCCTAAAAAAAAAGAAAAAGAAAACTAGGTAGTTGGTAGAATCTAGGCCTTGGACTCGTGCCGCCCAGTGGCAGTGCACTGCAGTACAGTGAAGCCAGGAACCAAATTATTTTGAATTGATGTCAGAAATCACATGGGTGCCTCTTCTTGATACTTTCTCGTGATGAAAACACTGTTTTTATTCAAATCAAAATGGTCTAGATCTAGTGTTGTTGCCAGGGATGATTATTAACACAAAATCATCGGTCATTTGTTGTTGACTTTGCTTCTTTTTTTTTTATCCGACTACAGATTAACTTTGCTTTTTTTTTTTCTATGAAACTAAGTTTAACTAACTTTTGTCTAACTTTAATAGCAATGTTAATGTTATAGATCATTTATTATTTTGCCATTTTATCTTGATCTTGCTTATTGTCTCTGCCACATCTCTCTTCTGAAAGTCTTATATGGTTAAATTTGACAGTTTTATTTTGTCAAGGCAGCTTTGAAAAGAAGATCTTACAATTAGAGATGAGTTTTTAAATCATTGCAATATTTCATTGCTAATTCTAAATGGGAAGACCACAAGTCTATTGCCAAAAATTTTAAATTTGTGTACAAGATCTATAAATCATGAGGTTATTTTTGTCAAAATTTCAAACATATTTTGTGAAAAATGAAACCTGAAAATGATAAATTTTGCATTACAAAACAAAAGTTGATAAAGAATAAGGAATCACAGGATTCGCACTAATTTTTATCTTGCCCGACTTTATAAGTCTAGATGTAAATGTACATGTAGATCTTTGACATATTTATATTCATTTTAATCTTCTATCAATTGTAATATTGGTGTATTGTTTTCTTTTTATAGATTGCAGTTATCAGCATGTCAAAACGGAGTAACACAGATGAGGAAGGTGAGCCCAGCAAGAAGCCGAAGCCTGTTGGGGGAAACCGGTGTGTCTTGTATGGGTGCAGCAACACTATTCATGATGGCTTTGCCATACATGAACTACCGAAGGAAGGATCCATCAGGCGAGCATGGGTGAAGTTCATTCAACTGAAGTTAAAAGGGTTCGATGCCCGAGAAAGGGTCCATGTCCACGTCTGCAGTGGTCATTTTGAGCGAGACCAGTATGATTCGTCTCAAGTCTTGAAGTTTAAGTATGGCTTCAGGAAAATTACGCCGCGCCTTCTACCAAATGCCATTCCCCGTCGGCAGCAGGCTGTTCAACCCTTTACAGATCATTGGTTCCTCAAACCAACAACGACAACATCATCAACGTCAACAATGTCATCACCAATGATTTCATCACCAACAACGTCAACACCAATAACGTCTACGCTAACAGTAACAACGTGCTTGAGCTCGACTAGAACCAGAACTGTCCATTCTACAAAGATAGCAGTGTCCTCTCTAGACAGCCAGAAGAAACGTGTGGGTAAACAAGGAGGCCATGCCCATAATCAACCAATTACTTTTGCCGATGCAAGCACGTGTACATCACCAACAATGCCAACTACCAGTGGAAACAGACGTCGAGTGTCTGTGCTCAGTCTGAAGAAGGTATGTGTAACACAGATGTATACCATTATGCCTACATGTACATGCGCAATATTATTTTTTTTGTCTTGTCATATGTTTTAAATTATAAATATCGATTTCATTGCAACTTTTGGCTTCATTTTACTCCAATAGCTCTCCTTTATTGGATAAGCAGTTTCAGCACTTCTCTTATTTTCCAATATCAAAAATCAATTCACTTCACAAACAGATTTTGTATAATTGGCTTATCCAAATGTTCCAGTTTGAATATCCGGTACTATTACTCAAACATGAAAATTGATACCGAATTTAATACTCATTATGCACTTCATAAGAACTACAAATTATAGTTCCCAAAACATCCTTTAGCACCTTTCAAACAGAGCCATCCACCCAATGAAAACAAAAATTGCATTAAAAATATTATGACTTACTATTATTCTTCCATGATTGCAGGAGGTTCAAAGGATAACTGAGGAATACGCTCGTAAGGAAGAGGAAGAAGCAGCACAACAAGCAGCAGAAGAAGCAGCTAGGAGGGACCGAGAAAACAATAAAGCTATCCAGGCATCTCCCACGGTGAGTAAATAACCTAATATCATGTCGCAAATATTGTGCAATAAACAAGAACAACAAGTTGTGGCAACATTTTCTGTACCTGTAAAGATCAGTAGAATACAATGTATTTGAGGCAAATTAAATAAAAAATGATGTTGAACCAGCACCAAAATATTGTTGATCAGTCTTATTTGGGAGAAATTTCTTTGCTGTCAGAATCCCATGCTATTGCTCACAAGAATTTCATTGCATTGCAGTGTCAGTGGGACATATGAGGTTTTGTCAAGTATAAATGAGGTCTATTGAAAGTGTTTATGATGTATCAGACTTCTAATTCTCAATTCATCGTTAGACAAGTTGCTTGTCTGACATACACGCAGTAACCAACTGCTGTCAACATTTGTGACTATTCACATAGTTCTCAGCTGACCCACATGATATGTATTTAAAACTTTTTTTAAAGCTTACTTTATTTTTAATTTGCTTTCATTCTTTGTGATTTTTATCACAAATGCAAATTCATTCCTCAGATGATTGATAAGCAGTTTCAAAAAAGACCTAAAACTCGAACCTGTGGAATACAAGTTAAACCTGTGAAGCCTGTCAAACCTGTCAAGCCTGTCAAGCCTTTACAAAAAGAGAAAGGTGAGTGAAGTACAGTATGATATGTGTATTTACAATATTTGTGTTATAACATAATGTATTTATAGATTGCGGAACAAAAAAGGAGAAAAATGTAACTAATGTACCTTGTATTCTCTTTCATGAATTATGTCACATTATCGAAATTGATCAAATGAATAAATGTTAATTTAAAATTTACTATGATTGGGTATTTCTGCACTCGTGCCATGACGGAAGACCACAAACTTGTCTATTGCCAAAATGTTAAATTTGTGCACAAGATCTATAAATCATGAGGTTATTTTTGTCAAAATTTCAAACATATTTTGTGAAAAATGAAACCTGAAAATTATAAGTTTTGCATTATAAAGCAAAAGTTGATAAAGAATAAGGAATCACAGGAGAGAAGGTTCCTACATCAAGTGTGCCCTAATAGGTCCTAAGTTCCTTTGGGTCCCCCAAAATAGAAAAGGCAAAATCTATATAGATCTGTGGTTTAGATCCCCTAACAAAATATGGCAAGAACCCTAATTTTCAAATCTTGTATCAATATTAAGCCTATCCGATATTTGTAAGCTACAAACTGGTATGTTCATGTATAAATGTAAAAATCGCTTATTCCCTCGTTATATTACTGATCTATTTCCTATAAATGCAAGTATTCACTCTTATCAAACTCGGTCTTCTAATGATTTTCATTTCCCCAAAATACGTACATCCTATGCAAAATCTACTTTATTTTTTACCGGCCCAAAACTATGGAGTTCTTTACCAAATGAAATAAAAAACTCAGTGTCACTCCAATCTTTCAAACGCAAACTAAAAAAACACTTGATAAATTCATACCGTAATCAACTACAACGTTAGTAGAGCTTCTTAACCCGTCCTTTCTTTCTTTATATTCAAATTTACTTTGCTTTTTTTTTTGTTTAACGCAATTATTCAATTGTTATTTAATGTATTAAGATTATATTTAATTGATCATGATGGGTGCCAACGCACTTAAGACCATTTTCCTGTCTTCCAGTTGGCTCCCTCCGCAATAATAACATGTTCTATATCATTACACTTTAATCAATCACTTATGCTCTTTATCAATGTTACTGTAAATGTTCACATTTTGTTTTGGTATTTGTTGTTGTTATTGTATATACATGTATATATCTGTTATATGTAATGTACATCTTTGTACTTTTATTATTGTGGAAAATAAATGAACTAAATGAACTAAATAAATGAACTAAATATGTTGTTTTTCTTGAAAAAGGAGTACAGATTACACTTTCTTCTAGCTTGGAGAAGGCAGAGAGACAAGTTTCGATGAGGACATCAGCAACCCAAACTGAGGACACTGGTGCAGAACAGGAGACTTTTGATGAGCCAGAAGATGAACATGAAGAACCTGAAGAACCCGATGACAAGCGGAAAGATCCAGATTATGAACCCGAAAATGAATTGGAGGATGAAGCTAATGAAGAAGTTGAGAACATGTAAGTATTGATCCATTATTTTTATAAGATGATATTTATCAAGTACATATATCTGGAAATTACTCTTTAATTTTTTATGTTAACATCTTTGATTGATGGAAATAAATGAAGATTAACCATTAAGCCTCATATTTTTGGAAGTTAATTTGCACACTTTCAAAGTAGCAAGGGCTGTTCGTTATATACATTTAGGGATGTATGTAGCTTTTACCCATTTCTATTATGAAAATAGTAGTGAAACTTACAATGTATGTGGATGTCTTGTTTGTTTCATACAGGAAAATACCATCCGATATAATTGATCAGCCCAAGTATATTGTTTTTGAGGATCAGCTTTTGGAGCTCTTCAAAAAATGCAGGCATTGCCACCTCCCCTGCTCTTCAGTAGTTCATCACCCACCGACATTTGGCAGTAGAGTCAAAGTGATCTCCACATGTGACGAATGTGACGGGAAATTTGAATGGTCATCCCAGCCATCAGTGGGAAATTTGTATGCTGGCAACATACTTTTGTCATCTGCAATTTTATTTGCCGGTGCGAGCCCAACAAAGGTTCTCAAAACTCACAAACACATGAACTTAATATCAATTTCGACAACAACATTCAACGAACACCAGTCTAGATATCTTCAGCCAGCAATAGTGAAAGAATACAGGAGGACCCAGGCAGAGACATTTGACGAGATCAGAGCGAGTGAAGCGGGCCTCATCCTTGGAGGGGATGGGAGGAGTGACTCACCTGGGCATTCTGCCAAGTACGGCTCGTACACGATGATGGACCTGAAGAGCAACAAGGTCATTGATGTCCAGCTTGTGCAAGTGAGTGATTTAGGAGAAATGTTTTAATGTATGTAGTGTAAAGGTTAAAACCACAGAGGTCATCATATGCCTGAAATTGGACATATCGTGTAGTAACTACGTACATAATAGAAAAGTTTTTGCCATGCATATTGTGATCATTACTCATTTAGGTTTCCTTTTTCTTTATTATAAGTTAAATTTTGCAGACGTAATTATATGGAATCCGCCTGTCACTAACTCCAGTGTGTTTTTTAACAGATCTGTTGCAACCATGAATGTATACTTCCTTTATTATACTGTATTACAGAGAACCTTGTACTTTTCTAAGGTTATTTACCATTATTTTATTCTTTTCCTTTATAGTGTACAGAGGTTAAGAACTCAAATGCAATGGAGCTAGAGGGACTCCAGAGGGGCCTGCGGATACTTGACGATGCTGGTGTGATTGTACAAGGCATAGTGACAGATCGTCACATGCAGATAGCGAAGTTTCTCCGTGAGACGTACCAACAAATTGATCACCGATATGATGTCTGGCACATTGCGAAAGGTAATTATTATATATATACTGAATTAATTCCAGCAAATGTATCTTATATACATGTTGGCTGAAATTGATATTGTAGTTATGACTACTTTTGCAGGTTTAAATTTGCCTATATTTCCACTTTTGTGTATAGTAATTATTGAATTATGATATATTTTCTAAATTTAGAACACTCCAAGTAGCTCCTTGACATGTCACATATTGAATTGTCAATTGATCTCTTTTAGCTAATTCTTGCTCCTTTTTTTTTGTTTCTGCCTGTATATAATAGGGTTAAAGAAGAAGCTAAAAGCATTGGCCAAGATGAAGGACTGTGGATTGGTTCAAGATTGGTTGAGGGCCTTGGTAAACCATGTATACTGGACTGCCTCTTCTACTCCGGATGGAGATAAGGATGTCATGAAAGCCAAGTATAAGAGGGCTATGAACCACATCAGAAATCTTCACACAGATGAAAACCCAGAGTACACTGCTTGTGAACATGGTGATGACTATCCAGAGCGAGAATGGTTGCAGTCAGGTAAGCTACTTATGTATGATCTTTAAATAACAATTTACTTCAGTGGAAATAAAACAGTTAACCCTTCACTGGTGCCTCAAGTTGTTCTTTTTGTTTGGATGTGGGTAAAATCCTTATTTATATGCATACGGTGTACATTTTTCACCCTCATTTACTTTGAAGATGTTTGTCAAAATGCGAGCAAAATATTTACATTTATTTTAATAATGTACATTCAAGTTTAATTTAGTTCAATTTTGATCATGACATTCATATTTTTTTTTGTTGCAATTTTCTAAATGATTAATATTCATTGTGGAATGAAAAAATAGTTTTGGCGAAGGGATGAGATGCTTGGAAATGCCGAGATCATGATTGCTAACTATTTAAATGAACTCTCCTTCACCTTTACCGCATATATTATATTCCCAATCTTATTACAGGTACAAAGGTGTACGACAAGCTTCGAGAGGAATGGCTGAGGACCAGACTGGTGAATGGCATTGGGATGATGTCCCCACATGCCCAAACCAGCAAGGTTGAATCATTCCACAACATCCTCCTTCACTTTTGCCCCAAGTTGCTTGTATACTCATATCAAGGGATGAAGTGCAGGTAAATTAGGCAATTAATTCATCAACATTATGCTCCCCTAATATAAATTTAACAAGAACGTCACAGAGGGCAGTGTTGTTTCTTCTTCTTCTTCTTTTGAATTTGATTTTATTGGTTTTATGTTTTAAAGTTATTATTTTCTTTTTGTTATAGCCAGGTTCTTTCTATTTCATATTTTGTTGGTTTTTTTTTATTTTTTCTTTATTATTTGTAACACATGCTTTTTACACTAACTCTTGCCTTCACTTATTGGAGAGTAGGTAACGAGTTTATGATGATAGACATTACATTACCAAAAAGATAAAATCAACTGTCACAAGTATGTTATTCATGTGACCTTTATTTTTAACTTCACTCTTTTCAGATTATATTTGGCTGTCCTACATTGGAACGAAAATTGTGATAGAGCCCAGGCTGTTGATGCCGAAGGGAACCCAGTGTACAGGTTGAAGTATCCACGCTCGAAGGAAGGAGGCCACACAGTGGAGAGAGTGCTGACAGCTGGCACATGTGGTAAGTAGCCACATGTCTAGTGAATGATATCAATATTCAACAAAAGAGCTCAATTATATATAGAAATCTTTTATTACTTCATGATCAATAGAATTCAAATTAGTAGATTCTTGTGGCCTATATGCCCTTAATTTAATCTGTTGATTAAATTGATAATTATAAACATGTATTGGGTTACTTTCTGCAAATGTGTAATATTGAATAGCAAGCAGAAACAGGCATATATGTCAGTCCCCAAGTCAGTGAACTACCTATTCAGCAAAGAACATGTGCATGCCATTGGTATTTGATTGGTCATCCACCTACAAATAGTGTGTAAAATTAGGTAATTCAATATTTGTGAGAAAAAGAGTTTTCTCTTCTTATGTTCTTATTTTTCTCTTTTCCTTTTTTCCTCTTATCAAAGTGTATTTTTTTAACACCGTATAGATGAATTTTCAAGGTATAGTTTTGGATTTTATCTTGTAGGTCATGTGAAAGCCCTGATGAGAGTTGTCGTAGAACTGGTGGAAAACAGGGAGCAGCTCAGAGACAACATGGAGGAGCTACAGCCTCAACCAGCACGGAGTGCCTCTCATCATCACCCCGACAATGGAGAAGCCGTGCAAGCTTTTGAACAACATCATCGCTTTGGCGATAGAAACTAGTTCTTTTGGTGATAGAAACTATGATGAATGTGTCAGCTACCTGAACATTAACCACTGATTGTTTTATTTCAGTACAATACATGTTTTTCATAGACCCTAAATTATGTTTATGCCAGTATAATTATGGAGAGTAACATGGAAGTACTCTATGCAAGTGAGTAGTGGATTCCGATTCTATGTGAGTGTAAAGCACTAGAAACTTGTCTGTAAGCTTGTACATACTTACACAAGCCAAAGTCCATGGTACACATCAATAGTCATTGGTTTTAATAGGTAAAATACTTATTAAATTTGTAAAACTTACATTTTTAGTTCAATTAAAAACAATTTCTGAAGCATATGCACTAGATTTCCATAAACACTAAGTAAATCACTGTTGATCATGAATTTGGCACCAAATATAATCTGATTTTTCTCAAGTCCTTCATCTTGGCCAATGCTTTTTGCTTCTTATTTGCAAAAAATAAAAAATAAAAAAATGCATTTTTTTTCTTCATCTAAACTGTTCTTATTCAAGAACCATTTGAACCAGATATGACTTTATTTTTTGTTTTTGATTTTTTCCCTTTTCTGCCGAGGTGAATTGTGTTATTCATTTTCAAAGTTAGTAGTTTTAAAGATCATGCCATATTATCACAGAAGAGGAAACATTGTGATGATACTTCATCGCATCCATACTTTTTTTCCTAACAGCGGTTTCCTGTTTGTCCTAAAACCTGGTTATAAAAGATTGAAAAATAATCATCCTTGCAGATATAATAAAAATAGTCATCTATCCTGTAAACTTTACATAAAATAAGGATGAATGTAATGTACATGTTGCATCAAAGTTTTTGTTCCAATGGTGCATCATTTTGAAATATATTGCACAAACAGAGAAGAAAATGATTGGGGGGAAAAACCGTCAATGGGATGTTCTGAGAATATTTTGAGCAAAGGTAAACAAAAATTCATCTAAAGGAACACAAATCTTGTTTGTTTATTTCTATTATAGGTGTCTTGTAGGAAGCTTCATAATTTAAAGATGGAAATTGCTGTGAAAATGAGAGTGAGATAGAGAATGTGAAGGAAGAAGAGGGGTAAAGATAGATACCAATAGGGATAGAGTGAGAGATGTGAATGTGATGGATGGAAGAGGAGAAAGAGAGATTGTGAAAGAGTGAGAGATGGGAATGTGATGGATGGAAGAGGAGAAAGAAAGATTGTGAGAGATGGGAATGTGGAGGGTGGAGGAGGAAAAGAGAGGCAGAGGGAGAGAGTGAGAGATGGGAATGTGGAGGAAGAGGAGAAGGAGGGACAGAGTGAGAGATGGGAATGTGGAGGGTGGAAGAGGAGAAGGAGGGACAGAGTGAGAGATAGGAATGTGGAGGAGGAGAAAGAGAGGAGGGACAGAGTGAGAGATGGAAATATGGAAGAGGAAACAGAGAGAGGAAGTGGGATAGAGAGATGGGAATGTGGAGGGTGGAAGAGGAGAAAGAGAGAGGAAGAGGGACAGAGTGGGAGATAGGGTTAAGGTTTATCCTTTTTGGGAGGATAGATTTGATGCAAAATAAAGGATTTCCTGGATTTATTACGATGCTTACCATTTATCACACATTTGAAATTTCGTCAACCGCAATTCCCTTCTCTTACTCTCATTATTCCTCTGTCTATCTTTGTTGTGTCCATGCTGTTATTTCTCTTTCTCTCAATTTCGTTTTCTCTTTCAATTTCATTTTCTCTTTCTCTCCCCTTTTCTGACTCGGCAGGTTGACTGTATATGAAATGCTCAAATTATTAAAACAAATTACATTGCAGGGTGTATAACAAAAGAGAAGGAACAAGGCATGTTGTGTTTTTTTTGGTTTTTTTTTTGTTGCTTGTTTATATAGATTTCAACATTCTTCCTCATAAGAAATCGTTGCTTGATCACAGTTTTGCAAAAGTTCGAATATCAGCTCTTGGAAATTAGAATCAAATGTCGAGATCAAAGTTCATAGCAACCGTACCATCATGAGAAGTTCAAACAATAGTATTTGTGATGAATATGAAGATGAAAGCCGATGATCACAAATAACGTACAGAAGATGGCTGACAATCACATAGAAGATGACAGTCATTCAAGGTTCGCAAGACAATAGTTGATTTTACATCCTCATCTCAACCGACGCAGGATGGTCCCTTTGTACTGACCACGTCCATCAGGATACGCTTCCATTATTGAGGCATGGACACATGCTGGCAGTTGCACCCTGATGTCCTTCCCGAGCCAGCCCCAACACCATCTCACGACTTTCCTGTATGCCACATACCTGTATTTTCTGTAAAATAAAAAGCAATAAAAAAATTTCATTATTTTTCTTAGGATAGATGATTTGATGTCAAAATATTAATTCTTTATTAATTAATTCAGGAAAATAAAAATGCTTAAAAAAAACTAAAATGACCAAGGGTTAGTCATTGTTTGTCGGGCGGTGGGGGGCAACATTCAAAATCGCATATAAAGTTTGTGTTTCATAACTACAGATTATTGGGGGGGGGGGGGTAACATGCTAAAACTCACAAATCGGTGGTCATTCTTGCCTATTTGTATACATTTCCTGAAAAAGTGCCCCGAAGCACCTGCAGATAAGGCAGCTAGTACACCAGTGGTCACCAGGCAAGAATTTTGGTCAAAACTAGTAATTCATCTTGCGGTGACTCAATTCGTTTTGAAAAGTTTCACCCAATAAACTTTCAAAATCAATCCATTTATTTTTTTGCCCTTGCCAAAATGATGAAAAGGAGAAACATAACTTACTCATTGTTCCTGTCCCCAAATGCTTTGGCTGCTCGGCGCCACCTATCTGTGTACTCCATCCATCCGATGTATAATGTTGTCGCATTTAGGATGGCCGGCTCAAACTCCTCAGAATCCACCAGACAACTTGAACCCTGTCGATCAGCCTCTGCCTTGACCTCTGCAATTTCCTGACAACAGACACAATCACCTTCATTGAAAGATGGAGGCACACGACATCTTCCACATGTACACCTTGAAATACAGAAAGATTCAAACAAAAATCAATACACCTACTATAATTTTATAAATATTTTATTACAGCTTCCTGATAAATATAAAAATGACATCGTTCTCGTAGTCGTAGTATGGTAAGAGTGCCCAAGGCAGTGCCTATGTCTGCGCACCCACGTAAATGCGCGATATTTATAGAACAAAACATCAAACTGACACCAATTTTCAATCTTAACCTCAACAATTCATTTAGATACCAAAATTTGTGAAAATAATTGGGAAGATTAAAAATGAGTTTTAGCAAGTTTCATTTGCCACCCTGAAAATTTCAATCATTGTCAAAAAAGAAAAGTCTGAACAGGGGGTTGTCCCTGGTATGAAACTTCACTGTGCTTGATTGAATTGCGTGCAAAATAGTGAGTGCGCAGACATGGGCACTTTTCAGTTTTGCTACACAAAATGACGAGCCCGTCTGAAATTCGTTAAAAAAATTGTTCTTGTGAATAATTTGTCGAGTTTTTTGTTTCAGTAATCATTAGAATATGAAGAACGGAATAACAATGATGATTCTAAAAATAATATCTTACTGTGTAATGAAATCGAGGTCGAATTTTAGGTGCGCAGACATAGATCTAGAGAATCATTCTAACAAGTTAACTTTAGAATTAGACATGCCATTTATGACCGAGTCTAGAGATCTACGGTATTTGATTTCAATTTTTGGGGGGAATAAATATTTAGAATGCACAACAAATTCAATAAGCTTATAAGTCTTAATTACCAATCCTCGACATTTTCATGAAGCCGATTTGCGTTGTTGGCCCTTCCAGCATCGCCAACATTTTGCCCAGGTTCACCACGAGGTAAAGGCTCATACTCCCACTCGACGATACGCCCGTGTTCTCCGGCGTCTGCATCACTTGCATCGCTGTCGGTATCACTGCTGCTGCCACTGTCCGGACTGTCACTACTACCACTGACACTGTCATTTTCACCGCTTTCCCCGCAACTGCCATCCTCCTCACACTCAAATTCCATAACTAAATCATCTTGTGCATCTGCCCTGACGACTGGGGTAGCCATTCTCTTTAGAAAGACTTCTCAAAACTTCTCAAACTTCAATCGATAAAAAGCAGACAGGATTCACGGTACGCAAAATCAATGTAGATCTCGAACATCGCGCGGCGAAGAATTATAGCAAACAATTCGAGTCTACACGGAATGACGTCACCCAAGTCCGTGCGGCGCGGGGGCTCTTGACCGAGGCGAATTTGGGAGGGGGCGGCAGTTGTACTGTAATTTTCATTTTTCTCAGTAATGAAAGGGTATTTAATTTTTTCTTTCTTGTATTTGCATTTTGTGTTTCATTAGCCGTCTGTGGATGTATGGTTGTGTACGCTCCGGTCAAGGTCTTTAAAAATAGAATATATGCATATGAATGAGACGGTTTCAATTAACTTCAATTCAAGGATAAGATTTTCAAGATTGTGTAATAATTAGATGGTGGATAATTTGATTTTTTTTTTTTTAAAGTTAGTCATCAATATACATGTATGTATTCATCAATTTATTTATTTTTTTCACAAAGAATGATTAGAAAAACATGCTCAGTAAATAGATCAGTTAATATGAAAAAAGGTAATACAATAAATAGTAAAGAATATTTAAATTAACATTAGGAAAGGATGATAATATAGA